AACAACCAGGAGAGGCGGAGCAGTTCGCAGCCAACCACCACTCCACCCCACGGATGCCGGGGTCGAATCCGAACGTATGTAGGGCGTCACCCCACTGGACCCAAAAACAGCCATTGGAAGTGGCGACAGCTTCTCCGTTCGCAGCCCCCACGTGAAGGCGAGGTTGAATCTGAGTCTGTGTAAGGCGCCACTCCGCTGGGCCCCCCAGCAGCCCTCAAAAGTGCCAGCGGCTTCGCAGATCGCAGCCCCACCCCCAGGGATGGCGATGTCTACTTTGAGTCTGCGTGAGGCGCCACTCCGCTGGACCACCCCCTCAACAGGCATCGAAAGCGGCGACCCTTCCGCAGCTCGCACCCCTCTCGGGATGGCGAGGTCGAATCTGAATCTGCGTAAGACGCCACTCCGCTTGACCCCCAAGCAGCCTTCGAAACCGGCGACAATGTCGCAGATCGCAGACGCCCCAAGGCTGGCGATATCAAATCTGAAATTGCACGAGACGTCGCTCCGCTGGACCCCCCCCAGCAGCCTTCGAACGTGGCGACTATTTGTCGCAGCCCCCCCCCAGGTATGGCGAAAAATCTTAATCAGCGGAAAGGCGTCATCCCGATAGACCCCCAGCAATTGCCAATAATGTCTACATTTTCGCACCTCGAAACCACACGATTGACGAGGTCGAATCTGAATATGCGTAGGACGCCACTCCGCTGGACCCCCAGCATACCTCGAAAGTATCGACATGTTCGCAGTCCGCAGACCCCCAGGGATGGCGAGGTCGAATCTGAATCTGTGCAAGGCGTCAAACCGCTGGACCCCCAGCAGCCCTCGAAAGCGACGAACGTTTCGCAGTCAGCAGTCCCCCCAAGGGATGGCGAGGCTTGAACAACAAGGTTTGTGTCACGCGACACCCCGATAGACCCCTCAACAGCCCTGGAACGCGTAGACATTTTCGCAGTTCGCAGCCCCCCAGAGATGGCGAAGTCGATCGCAAGTCTGCTAAGGCGTCACCACGCTGGATCCCCAGCAGCCCTCGACACTGGCGCCTGTTCTGCAATTCGCCCCCACCTCCCCTTGGGATAACGAGGTCTCAAAAGGGTCTGCGTAAGGCGTCGCTCTGCTGGACCCCCGTCATCCTTCAAAAGTACCAGCGGTTTCACAGTTCGCAACCTCCCAAGGATGGCGAGGACCAGTCCAAGTCTGCGTAAGGCGTCACTCCGCTGGGCCCCCCAGCAACCCTGGAAAGTGGCAACCGTTTCGCAATTCGCAGCCACCCAGGGATGGCGAGGTCGAATCTAAGTATGCGCAAGGCGCCACTCCGCTGGACCCCCCACCACCCTCCGAAAGTGGCGACAGCTCCGTTGTTCGCAGCCCCCTCAAGGATGGCGAGGTCGCATCTCTATCTGCGTGAAAAGTCACTCCGTGGGGATCCCCCGCAGCCATCAAAAGTGACGACAGTTTCGCTGTTCGCAACCCCCCCGGTCGAATCTGGGTCTGCGCAAGGTGTCTCTCCGCTGGACCCATGGGCAACCCTCGAAAGCGGCGACATATTCGCAGTTCACAGCCCGCCAGGGATGGTGGGGTGCATTGTAGTTCTGCGCAAGGCGTCACTCCGTTGGACCCCCCGGCAGCCCTCGAACGCGGCGACAGTTTCGTCGTTCGCGGCCTCCCAGCGAGTCCCCAGGCAGGACGGCGAGGTAGGGGGCAGGGTAGCAGGCAGGCAGGAGGGGACAGGAGCAGATGGCGGGGAGAAGAGGTCGCAACCGCAGTCTTCTACTCGAAACGAGGCCCTACGCAGAACGGTTGGGAAAAATCCACGCGGTAAACATCTGTTGATCTCAACCTTCCCTTCTCGAGCCTTTTACCCCTCACTGTCCGATGCGAATCTGTTGTCCTGCACATCCGGATCTAAACCCTCGCAGAATCCCTACAGCGTTCACGATCCGGTGCCGCCCTGAGCGGGGTCCTGAGCTACCTCCCAAACGCAGCCTCCTCCTCCTCCTCCTCCTCCTCCTCCTCCTCCTCCTTCTCCTCCTCCTCCTCCGCCGCCTCCGCCTCCTCCTCCTCCTCCTCCTCCTCCTCCTCCTCCTCCTCCTCCTCCTCCTCCTCCTCCTCCTCCTCCTCCTACCGGTTCTATCTCAAAAAAAGGGTCCATTCTTGATTCCGGGCGGGGGGGAACGGGGGCGCTCGGCGGGCCACACCGCCCTGCCATCCTCATCGCCATGCTCATCATCATCATCATCATCATCATCATCATCATCATCATCATCATCATCATCAGCAGCAGCAACAGCAGCAGCAGCATCAGCATCAGCATCAGCATCATCATCATCAGCAGCAGCAGCATCAGCATCAGCATCAGCATCAGCATCATCATCATCATCATCATCATCATCAGCAACAGCAGCAGCAGCAGCATCAGCATCATCAGCAGCAGCAGCATCAGCATCAGCATCAGCATCAGCATCATCATCATCATCATCATCATCATCATCATCATCATCATCAGCATCAGCATCTTCAAGGGAGAAATGAGTAGTGCGTCGACGTCGTCCTCGTCGTCGTCGCCAGGGTCGTTCCCGTCGTCGACGTCGAGGTCGACGTGTTGGACGCCGACGACGCGACGACGTTATTGCCATCATCATCCTCATCATGATGATCATCATCAGCAGCATCATTACGGGAAGATGGGAGTAGCACATCGGCATCGTCGTCGTCGCCATGATTGTCGTCGGCGTCGACGTCGACGACGCGACAACGTCGGTGAACCCAAGACGTCCTGTAATGACACAGAGACAGCACAAGGTGGCTCCAAGAGGGCCCAGGATGGCCCACACACCAGAGGATGGCCCAGTAAGATTGCGATGTTAGACACAATGTAGCAGCTCGCGGAAACACGGCGGCGATCGGCGGACGCCGATGTGCAATTATAGTCAAGCGGCGCGCACAATCAGGATCGAACGAACCAAGCACGGCCGCAGCCAGTCAAACAAAAACGTCTGCCAAGTTAGTAGCATGTCAGGCGACGCCAGATAAACATACGTCAACTCTCTGATCGTCGTTGTCGTCGACGTACTCGTCGTGGTCGTCGACATCGTTTTGCACACCCCATATCAAGTCTTTCACAATGGAAATCTGTGCCGTTCACGCCCCTCTAACAAAAAAACGATGCGGTGCACATCTGCTGATCTCATCAACGAACTCAGGCAGTCAACCTTCACGATCCGATGCGAATAACATGTCTCTTCTTGACACCCCAGATTTGTATCTTTCACGGTGGAAATCTGTACCTCTCACGATCCTCTGGCCTAAGACAAACACACACACACACACACACACAAAGATTCCCTCCGAATCCTCCAGCGCAAAGGGGGGAGGGGAGGGGAGAGTCCGAGCTCCAGCGCAACCCCCCCCCTCTCCGGCGCGGAAGGGGGGGAGGGAGGGAGATCCGGAACCCCCACCACCCCCTTTCCGGGGGAAGGGGGGGGGTCCGTACCCCCCATTGAAAAGGTGGAGGGGGTGCGAGCAAAGCCCCCCTTGTCAATTGGAGGGTCATCCACTGGTGCCCTCTCCCAATCTCGACACTGCTGGGATTCTCGCGTGCCGTCTTGGAGATCCCCGGCGTCCGGCCCAAGAACCCATAACCGGCTGAATATACGGGTTGTTGTGTGATCTTCACATTCTCGCCGTATCGGTCACAAGAACGTCCACGACGGGCCACGATTCCCAAAGACCAGGCCAAGATAGCCGGAGAGGCTAACAAACTGCACTAAGAAGGGCCCAAAAAGCACGCCACCGCTGCAACGCTGAAAGTCAACCCCTCCCACATGATCCCTGTCCCCGTCCCTCTTCTGCCTCTTTCGCCCAAGCTGCGCTCTCTCAGAGATCGGCGGAGCTGATCGTAAGGCCTTTGCGTTAAAAAAACACCACAACTACTGGGACAGCATACGACCACAACGATGGAGATCTGATCCGCGAACAAGGCGAAAGTATATAGACGGGTTGGGGCGAAACTGCAGGATGGCGGATACAGTAACAACCCACCAGAACTGAAAACCCGAAACTATACGGCGTAAAAGTAAGCATAAACATCTAGCCAGGCATTGAGACAGCAACAGCGATGATACCAGAACTGGCGGAAGCACATTGCATATTCACAAACATGATCGTTTTAGTCTGCACATATATGGGTATATATTCAGGTGTACATACATATATGTCAGGGGCACCACAGGTTCAACACTCCACCAGCTCTGTTAAGCGGCCCGTCCAGAACATAGCATATACCTGAGTTCAAGTGCGAATGTTGTATACTAAGTGACCCCATACCCCACCCCCCATTCAACCAAAAACGAAAGATTGCCGAATTATACGTCCAGCATACTCCACAACAAAACGATCGCCGCCGCCACCACGGAAAGAAAGAAACACAATGACATGATGTACCCGACACGTCTACCATACTACCACAAAATAACGCCATCACAGCGGCAGCGCAGGCCAACGCGCGAGCCATCCTCGAAAAGACAACCTGCGATCCGCACTTGGGTTCACACCAGAAACAGCAGGTGATTGGATGGAACGCACAAGGATACACTACTACTGTGCGACCTTCTTGGAGGCGTGCGCCCGACACGAACATCTAGTACAACCAGATTGTGGTATATTGATTCCCGAGCGGTGTGGCCAGAAAGCGCCCGCCACGGAGCTTACATTATAAGATTTCTCGGCGCGCCCGAGTCGCCCGTGGGGGAGCGACGCACGTACAGTATGGCATTGTTGGGTGACCCCGACTGGCTGGCGCAGAGGGGGAGAGGGAGGGGGAGGGGGGAGAGGGAGGGGGAGGGGGAGAGGGAGGAGGAGAGGGAGGGGGAGGGGGAGAGGGAGGGGGAGGGGGAGGGAAAGGGAGGGAGAGGAAGGGGGAGGGGGAGCAGGAGGGGGAGAGGGAGGGGGAAAGGGCACCGTTGGGGTCCGCACGGAGCGAGCGCAGGGGGCACGGCGGGGGCCTGGAGGCGCCATCTTCGGCACCGCAGTCCCTGGGAGGGCACGGGCAACCGGCAGCGGAGACGCAGACAGGTCAGTGAGCACCGAAGACATGTCGAGAGCGTCGCGCACGCTGCGAGGGCGAGGGCGCGGAGGGGCCCAAGATGTATAGACGGCATCAAATCATAGACCTGCGGTGCCGAGGCCGAGGGCGGCAGCGCTCCGCAGAAGCCAAGCAGACCGGATGGTCCGCGCCCGTCGCGGATTCCGAGAGGCCGACGTCACCAAGAAGACGGACTCCGAGCAAAACTCAAACTGCAGGATTCCAGCGAGGCTTCGCTGATCAGCGCCTACCTCCCGACCTTGCCACAGCCACTATGTCTGATGATATCGGAGCGATCGCGTTCAGCACCCAAGCCTCATATGGAACCCCACAAGACATCGTATTCTAAACTGACAAACGTCGCTGCGATGGCCAGTAGGCCTCCCCTCCTGACCACACCCTCGACGCGCCGAAAGCCCCCATTCGAAGTCCAGACGCTCGCCCGACACTGCTCCGCACTACACGGGGAACAAAGTTACTCGAGCTGGGGATCCCCACATGTGCATCTCATGCTCCTGTCGCGTCTCGCTGGGGAGCTTTGTCTGTGCACAGCCTGCTCTGACAATAGAAGAATCGGGGACACGGAAACAGGCAAACCGTATGAGACGTCCCCACAATCTGGACGCGAACGGGCCCGTGAAATGCCCCCTTGGCGCCCCCCCTTCAGGTGCTGAAACCAGCGCCTCGCCTGAGACATCCTCACAATCTGCTCCTACAGCCGAGCAGGCTGGGCATGCAAACAGGCAGACAGCCTAAGACATCTCCGCAATCTGCGCGCGAACCGGCCTGTGAAATACCCCCCTGGCGGCTCCCCCTTGGTGTGCTGAAACCAGCGCATCGCCTGAGACATGCGAACAAGCAAATCGCCTAAGACGTCCCCACAATCTGGGCGCGAACGGGCCTGTGAAGTACCCCCGGCGGCTACCCCTTAGTGTGCTGAAACCATCGCCTCGCCTGAGACATGCTCACAATCTGCTCCGACAGAAATAATTTTTGGGTATGCCAGAAAGGAAAGATGAGAAGGAGAAGGAGGGAGGGTTCCTACCTTCTTCCTGGGGGGTCGGACCCGTCAAAGTAACAACAAGAACCCCATCCTAAGATATGGGGAAAAATTGCATAGACTTAAATGTTCAAGAGTCCGCGAAGATTTCTCGGATCGGCGCCGGAGCCCCCTGGCGGCGCCTCTGGCGCCGCCACTGGCGCCCTCCGCGCGCCAGGGAGAGGGGTCTAGCGCCGATACAAAGAATCCCCGCGGACCGTCGAAAGTCTATGTTTAACTATGCTATGCTCATCGAGCTACGGCCCGGACACTCCTGGCACCCACGCTGCGGCGCCTGAGACTCGACGCCTGACGGAGGGACATCCGAGCAGGCACCCAGGGGTTGGCTGGACCAGGACAGAGAGGATATCGCCGCCTGTCACAACAGACATTGGCCCGGCCAAGGACCCAAGCCTGTGCAGTCGCGGGCAGTGCAGGGTATACATGCGCGCGGGGCAAGCTGCTCGTCTCCGGCGCTGTTCCCACGGGGGCGGCGGCGAGGGAACACGAGGGCCTGGGCCCCTCGGAGGCCCCAAATCTTGCCTGGAATCGGCGCGCGCTCCACCGAAGCGCCGACCGCGGCATCCACTTGCGCGACCGCATCGGCCGGAATGTCGCCCAGCGGACAGACGTTGCGCGCCACGAGGCAGTATGGAGAGGCGGCGGCGGAACATATATTTTTGTTTTTGGTCTGCGGGTCGAGAGCGAGCCTCTTCCGGTTCAGAGCTAGGCGGGCCGCGCAAAGCACTCAGTGGGGAGACACGCGGCGGCGGAACAAGCAGCGCGCAGAAGCATGCGGAACTCCCCAAAGCAGGGGGGGGGGGGGGGGGCGACTCGTGCGAGCGAGTGGTGTCAAGCGGGCGGGGGGCCGCCGTGCGGGCGCCATCACTGACGCCGTGGGTGGACCTCCCTGCAGGGCACGAAACGTATGGGGGGGTTGCCCAAATGGACGGGGGGGACACAATGCAGGCACCCTCAGTGGCAACGTAGGCGGAGCCCCCAGTGGGGCCGGGGGGATGCCATGTGGGGGGCGCCACTTGAACACCTCAAATGGGGGCCGTAGATGAAGCTCCCTGTGGGGCACGATCCGCTTGAGGGGTGTGCCGAAATGGGCGGGAGGGAGCTCCATCCAATGATGTCATCGGGGAAGCTCCCTCCATGCCAGCACCTACAATGAGGCCAGGAGGAAAGCTCCCTATCGAGCACCATCCATGTAAGAGGTGCGCCGAAATATGCGGGGGACGCCATGCGAGCACTTCCATCCGAACCATCGGTGGAGCTCCATATAACAGCACGGATCCGCGTGAGGGGAATCCGAAACAAAGGGAGGGGACGCCAAGTGGACGCCCTCGATGGTGCCATGGAGCTCCCTATGGGCGCGATCCTCGTGAGGGGTGTGCCGAAGGGGGCGGGGAAACACCAGGTGGCACCTCAACTGAGGCAACAGGTGGAGCTCCTTTTGGGAGCACGATCCGCCCGAGAAGTGCGTCGACACGTGCGATAACGATCAGAACATCCAGAGACGAGCATCAGCCACAGCCGTGCCTTGCAGCGGCAGGTGCAACACGGGCAGAGCAGCAACACGCAGCAGTCAGCGCAACAGAAGCAGCGGTAGGATGGGGAGAAGGGTGCGGGAGGCGGGAGGATAGGAGGAGGGGGAGGAAGGTGGAGGGAAGAGGGAGGAGGGAGTAGGAAGGGAGGAGGGAGGAGGGAGGAGGAGGAGGGAGGAGGGAGGAGGAGGGAAAGGAGGAGGAGGAGGAGGAGGAGGAGGAGGAGGAGGAGGAGAAGGAAGGAAGGGAGGAGGAGGAGGAGGAGGAGGAGGAGGAGGAGGAGGAGGAGGAGGAGGAGGGGAGGGGGAGGGGGAGGAGGAGGAGGAGAAGGAGGAGGAGGAGGAGGTTGAGGAGGAGGAGGAGGAGGAGGAGGAACTCGGAACTCGGAACTCGGGGATCCTCGAAAGACCGTCACTCAGGACGGCACTGCCGGGGGTGTGCAAGACACAGGTAGTCCTGCAGACCAAGGAGGAGGAAGAGGAGGAGGAGGAGGCGGAGGAGGGAGTCGCACGGCACTGCGGATTCGAAACACGGAACCGACAAGACAAGAGGGCTAGGAACAAGAAACGGAACTCAAGGGAAGCGGAACGAAGAAGCTGTCCATGTCGGCGCATCGTCGCAGGCCCGATGACAAGAAAGTGCCGTTCACGCTCAAGACTCGCCTGCGCACTGTTCACGGCTAACCCTGGCCGCTGATAAAGTATCGAGTTGCCCGTTGACGGCCTCAATGATGAAATAAACTTGGGCGAGCTCCTCAGGAAGTAAGATATGCCCAGAGGGACTACGTTCGTGCAACTCCAGGGCGGTCAAAAACCTCTTCTGGACGACACCGAAGATGGGCGACGACAAGGGGCTACCGTGCTACAGTGAAAATCTTGCAATGGGAACTTATGAACACTGCCAAATAAGAGAACCAACGAGGACATGCGTCTGTCCATAAAACTTCTGGTTGGCAACACTTCACGCACAGAACCCAGGACCACTGTGCAGAATATCCCGCTTATGATTGGTTCCACGATTTGCTGTGGCAAACGGCCTGAGGAACGTTGGCACTCAAGGCTGAAGGTACATGCGCGCAAGCCTGAACTACATGCATCACCCCACCTTCAAAAAGACAACAGCGTGAACAAAGGAACTCCCTGCACGCACCCCAAATTCAACGCCATGCAACTCAACGCTATACAACTTCACCAACTCAAACCCAGCCCAATCCAAGCTAATCGCATTCGACTAGATCTTCATCGCAGACTTGTTTCCCCTGCCACTTTGCTGGTTGTGACAATGTTGGCATGTCTAGATGCACGCTATGAAGAATCACCAAACTTACTTCTCCAGCCCCGCCCCCCTGGCAGCCACAGCGAGCCTGGTAGACCAGGCATGGGCACGCCACCCATGGGGAGTCCTTGCGTCGTACGCATTGCGAGTGAGAACTGCACTGCAAGAGGAAACATCAGGGGCAAATCGACTGGAAACACAAGGCGGCGCTCTGACACACCGACCATAGTATGGCCAAAGACGGACTGCCGCACGAAGGAGAATTCCGACACCTTTCACAGGTCATGCTGGGCAGCTCGCGGCTAGCACTGCAAGCGTCAGGAAGCAGCGAGAGCGAGCGTCCTCCAGCAGGGAGTCCGAGCATCATGGACGGCGCCGTCATCATGGACGGCGCTGTCCCTCCGAGAGGTGGCCCTGCCAACAGAAGCACGGCAACACACACACACACACACGCACACGCACATACATATGTACATACATACATTCATATATACATACATATAGATATATGCACACAAACATATATATCGATATGTACACTTACATACATATATGTAATTAAATAACTCTATAATCTATTTGAGATCCCCCGATGTGTTGTCCCAAAGCGAGAGTCTTGTCTTACTCTACACGGAAGGGGCGGGTGAGGTGGGCAGAGAAGGAGATGACGAGGGGATGAACGGAGAGGCGGGAGGGCGGGCGGGCGGCGAACGGGCGGGCGGGCGGCGGTCGGGTCGGGATTTCAATCGACTCCTTAAGGATTCTCTCTTGCTGCGGGAGACTGTTGAGTACTGGGTGTTGTCTTGCAGTGGGGGGTGTTGAATGCAAGGTGCTGTCTTGAAGACGGAGGCTGTTGAGTACACGATGGCGCATGCGACACTGAAGGCGAGCGGGTGGGCGGCGGACGGGCGGGTCGGGATTCTAAAAGACTCCTGAAGGATTCTCTCTGGCAGCGGGAGCCTGCTGAGTACCGGGTGTCGTCTTGGAGACGGAGGCTGTTGACTACAGGGTCTTGTCTTGGAGACGGAGGCTGCTGAGTACGGGATGGTGCGTGCTACACGGTAGGCGGGCGGGCGGGCGGGCAGGCGGGTGGGCGGGCTGGGGGGTGGGCCTGCGGATCGGGATTCGAATCGATCACTCACGAGTTCTCTCATGCAGCGGGAGCCTGTTGAGTACAGGGTGCTGTCTTGGAGGCGGAGGCTGTTGAGTGCAGGGTGACTTCTTGGAGACGGAAGCTGTCCCCTCAAGATGCATGGAGCTTGACACAGACGGGTCTTTCGGGGAACCGCACGAAACGAAAACGTGGATATCAAGAAAACTATACCCATCTATATATAAGACTGCAGTGGCGCTTCGCGCCATGCACCTTGGTCCTCAAAGTTCGGTATGCAGGCGGAATGGCAGGAAGGTCAAGCCGACAATTTAGCTATAACTCCTTGTTGCCTTTTCAAGGATCGCTGGTCTAATAATGTTATTCGTTATCCTTCCTTCAGGCTTCTTGTTCGTCATTATCGCCATACCCTGTGCATTATCCCCGTCCTCCTCAGCTCTTGCTGCAAGGTTCCTCCTTGGAGAGCCTCTGGGGGCCTCACAAAAGTTGTTCAAGCTTTCTTTAAAGCCTTCTGGAGACCTCCTGGGCGTGTTCTGGGGGCCTATGGGGGTTTCTTCTGGCCACCCTGCCTCCAACCACGGTCTCCCTGAACGACCTGGTCACGAGTTGGAATGCTTCGGAGGGTGTCTTGGGGTCATCTTGGGCCGCCATGGGGCTCTCTTAGGGCCATCTTGGACCCCTGTTGTGCCGTTTTGGAGCTCTGTTGGACTGCCTGGAAGCCCATTCGGATAGTTGTGGGGCGATTCTGGAGCCTCTCATGCGGCTTCGGACGCCCAGAAGACCGCCGTCTTGGAGCGTCGGGAAGCCGCAAAGAGGAGAATCCCAAAATTCACCCAAAAAAACAAAGAAAACCAATTATTGTTCCTTATTGGGGCCTTCTTGGGAGTGCTCTCGGAGGCCTCCTGGGACGTTTGGGAGAAATCTTGGGGGGTATGACGGCTTCTTGGGGGTCTCTGAGACGTCTCCGATGACCCCCCTGATCGCCCTAGGTGTGCTGCGAAGGCTTGGCAAAACGCCCTGCGAAGCCCAGGGGGCCGCTTCGAGGCCCGTCCAGAGGGTCCCAAAGCCCCAAATCCCGGGAGTCTGGTTTTGGGGGGGGGGTCCCCCCGCCCGGGCTTGTAAAAATATAGGATGGAGAATATATATATATATATATATATATATATATATATATGTGTGTGTGTGTATCGCTCCATCGTGACACGCGACAACACCTGCACCAGAAGCATGAGCACGTCATGGCGCAGAGTCGCAAGCAGGCGGCAAGCCGCTACCACAACAAGAGCAACGAGGACAGACACTGCCGTGGATCGGCGGCGGGCCAGGGGGGGTGAGAAGGGGCGGGACCTCTCAGAAGGCTCGGAAGTCCCATGGCCTTCGGAGAAGTCTTCTGAGTCCTTGATTTTCGCGGCCACAAGCGGAAGTGCAGGCGGCGTCCGAAGTGCTAAGCGCGCGAACTCGGAGCTGCCGCCGAGGACGCCGAGCGACGCCGGGGACTGAAGGCAGAGCTGCAAGAGGTGCCAGGGTGCCAAGCGGCTCTTCTGAGTCCTTCGCGAAGACAGGGAAAGCCTCTCGGAAGGCGCGAGGGGTTCTGAGAGGAGTCCCGCCGCCATCCGAGGAGGCCTTCTCCTCCTCGCCTCCCCCCCTCGCCCCCGCCGAGTGGAAGCAGAGCCGAGAGAGAAGCCCACCACGCGCCCACGGCCGCCCACGAGGAGGGGGGGGGGGAGGAGGAGGAGGAGGAGGAGGAGGAGGGAGGAGGAGGAGGAGGAGGAGGAGGAGGAGGAGGAGGAGGAGGAGGAGGAGGAGGAGGAGGAGGAGGAGGGGGAGGAGGCAGCGCAAAAGAAGCTCGAGAGGGGGGGGGCCCGCCTGCCAGGCCGAAGGGCGCCGTTCCCGCGAAGGGTGCCGTGCCTGGCCCGGGGCCCAGCGGTCCAGGACGCGCAGGGCCTCCCCAGCTGCAGCACACGCCCACGGGGAACTTCGGCAGGCAGGCACCCTCCTCCTCCTCCTCCTCCTTCTCCTCCTCCTCTCCTCCACCTCCTCCTCCTCCTCCTCCTCCCCTTCCCCCTCCTCCTCCTCCCTCCTCCTCCTCCTCCTCCTCCTCCTCCTCCTCCTCCTCCTCCTCCTCCTCCTCCTTCTCCTCCACACACAGGAGCCAAGCGATCCTTCCAATATCTGGAGATGTTGCATGCTTCTCTGCCCTTGGCTTCCACGTTCGCACAGGAGCTTCGGCAAACGGCGCACGCACGACGCCAAACTATCCTTCCAACATCTGAAAAGTCTGCAGGCTGCTTTACCCTTGGCTTTGACGCTCGCACAGCAACTTGGGCAAGTAGCGCACACACGATGCCCAACGATCCTTCCAACACCTAAAAAGTTTGCATGCTGCTTTGCCCTTGGCAGTCACATTCAATTTGCTTGTGCGTGCACTGCTTCCCCCGATCCTGCCCGCACCCTGCGGCCTGTGCCTGGTGGAGGCATGATGACGCCTGTGAGCTGGGGCAGTGCAC